AAAATTATTGCAAATCTAAAAATCCCACAAAAACAAAGAATTCTGTTACAACTTCGAACAGGATCTCAAAGAAAATTTTTTTTTTTTACAATTAATACCCAAAAGAAGTGGGAGATTAAAAAATGAAATAGCTTAGAAGAGAAAGTGGTAAAACTTAGCTAAGTAATGAACTTCCTAGAAACCAAAATAGTAAAAAAGAAATTAACTACTCCATGCAACAGCAAGAAATATTAGAACAAATCAAAAGAGTGAAAAAAGAATAGAAGAAAATGTAAAATGTTTGATATCAAAAGCAACTGACCTAGAAAACAGGTCAAAAACAGATAATTTACAAATCATTGTACTCCCTTAAAAACCATGCATGACCCCAAAGAAACACCTGGATACTCTAATCCAAGAAATCACAACTGAAAACTGCCTAGATCAGAACCAGGGCAAAGGAACCCGCTCATCACCTCCTGAAAGAGATCCCCCCCAAATCCAGCCAAAATCCAGAGCTCCCAAGCAGCCAGAGGGCAGCAGTTCAAGTACTAAGGAACCAGTCAAGGTCTATTACATGAAACCTGGCAGCTCCTACTTTTAAAAAGAGAGATGTTAGGAGTACAATGTTCTAAAAGGCAAGAGACAATCTTACAAGTTAGTCTTGTAACTTAACCTACAAAGCTAAATATATTCTCCAAGGGCAAAAATGCCCTTTGGAAAGGAGCAGACTTTCAGGCACTTCTGAAGAAAAGCCCAAGGGTGAGTAGCAGCTTTTAAACGCAAACAGAAGAGTCCAGAGGAACCTAGAAAGGGAAAGTAATTGGAGCACTGAAAGGGACAGTATATAATGTAGTGCTAACATTCTAATGGGGAAAAGAAACAAGTGTCCTTCAGAACTTAAAGTCTTTAAAGGGTATTGAGGGAGTTAAATCAGAAAAACAGAGGACCTGGAAGGAAGGGGTGCTGGAGGATTGGTTCTGTTCTGAAAAGGAGAAAGAGAAGGGTGAGTAAAAGGAATACACTAGTTCAGAAAGAAGGAAGAAGAGGGTAGAACTTGCAATTTTTCCTAACTGGGGTGCATTAGAAGAACAGTCTAAAAAGCATGGAGGCAAGAGTGGGAGGAGAAAGAGTAAACACTGGATGAAACCTCAGTCTTACTTAAAATGGACAAGGGAGGGTTGAACATACGTGTAAACAGGATGATATGGAAATACACCAAATTCGACAGTTTGGGTGTTTGGGGGTAATATAAATATAATGAAGTCCCTTAGTCTGAAGGTAGGAATTGTGCAAGAGAAAAAAGACGGTGACCCAGGCACTAAACTCACTGAGGAAGGAAAATGTCTTGCAGTTTAGTAGGTAATGGGTAAAAAAAGCAAAAAGAGGAGTCTGGCTTAGAGTCAAGATACAGCAGTAGTGGATGACTTCACTTATCTAGACATTGGCTGGAGCTCTCTCCCTCTCTCTCTCTCTCTCTCTCTCTCTCTCTCTCTCTCTCTGCCAAAAGCAGGACAACTTTCTTGACCTGTCTTCAAAATTTCATCCATCATAAGTGGAGGATCCACCAAAGAGGAAATTCTACTCTGGATCTGGTTTTCCATTACATGGAGGTTGAGATTTAAGGATTGGTTGCTAAGGCAGAAATATGAAAACCTTAGGGTTGACTTCACCACCTTGTCTTAGAGCTTATGAGAAAGGAGAGGAAAGATGACCATATTCTGCCAGCATAATCTGCTAGCAGATTCCAAAGGATAGGTAGCATCCCATCGACTCAAATTCTATAGGGGAAGTCAGCCTGGGAAGGATGAATAGAAAATTCTTAGGATAGAAAGGTAAACAACTCCGAGGAGGAAAAACAGGAGTTGTGTGAAGAGACCAATGTAGATACACAGGGAACACACTAACTTAATCATTTTCAAAATTAATTTAAAAATTAACTTTTGAAAAGGACTGCACAAAGGACAGAAGTAAGAAAAGGTCCCAGAGAATGAATGCAAAGTGCTCCATCAATAGTCCCCAGGATGCTAAAGTCAGAATGAGCTAAGGCTGCCAGTGTGGGTACTGACAAAAACCAAGAAGGGTTTTGGTTGTTGTTTTTAAGCTATACTGAAAGAAGATAGCAGATGGGATAGTAGGGCTGCTTGGAATGGATGGAAAGATGCTACCTGATAACAGAATATAGACTGAGGACAGAAGATTGCTGTTCAATCCGTACTCTGCTTGTTTTTCTCTGCCAAGGAGAACGAATGACCTCTGGATTGGAAAGGGCAGAACAAACATGTCTAAGAGGGAGTCGATACCCAAGAAAATGAAGATGTAGTGGGAGAACACCCATCTGCCCTTAAAAAATCCAGGTGAATTGGCCCACATGTGCTACATGCTCAGAAAAGGCAGATACAATTCCTGAGCCAATGTCAGTGATATCTGGAAGACTGGTGAGAACAGAGAGAAACCACAGTACTGAAGAAGGGCAAAGGCCTTCCTCTTCAAAACAGAGAAGAGAACAGAGTCTGCAAACTCTAGGTCAGTGACTTGACTTCAAGAGTCCTGGGAAAATTCTAGAAAGGGTCATCAGAAAGATGGTTAATGAGCATCTGCAAAAGGAACTGGTGGTTCCAAAGAGCCAGCAGGGCTTCATTAAGAACAAATCACGTCACGCTAATCTTTTCTGTCAGGGAACATAACTAGGAAAACAAAAGAATGCTAGAGGATGAGTTTACCTAGATTTTGCAGCTATCGATTTAAGGTTTGCAAAGTGTTGACAAATGGCATCTTATTTTATCCTCCCATGCATCCGGGGAGAAAGGTGCTATTAATATCATCTTACAGATGAAGAACTTGTCTGGGGCATATTGAGGTAGTCTCAGGCTGGATTTGAACTCAGGTTTTCTTGACTCCAAATCCAGTTTATCCACTGTGCCAAGCAATGTATTTGATAAAGTATTTCACACAATTCCTGTGTAAGATTTGGAACTGGTCGAATGTTAGGAATCAAAGAATCACAGTGACTGATTGTTTGATGTCACTTGGCAAGAGGTCTCTAGTAGAGTGCCACAGGTATCTGTGCTAGGCCCCTAGTTTATATACAGGGTATCCCAAAAATCTTAGTTTAGTTTTAAGCTATCAGAGAAAGTTCAAAGGCATTAAGGAGCAGAGCTGGGATTTAAAGCCAGGTTTTCTGACTCCAAATCTCAGTTTGCTCCATTGTGCCATACTCTAGGATGCTGAATATTTTTATCAATGATGAAGATAAAGGCATAGATGGCATGCTTTAACAAACCTGCAGATAACAACAAAGCTGGGAGAACTAATGTTGGATAAAAGTCAAGATCTAAAATGAATTCAATAGGCCACACCCTTCAGATGGATCTAATAAGATGAAATTCAATGGAAACTCTCATTCTTGGGTTTAATAAACCAATATCACAAGTACGAAAGGAGGAGAGTTCGAGATTAAACAGCAGGTGGTCTGAAGAAGCTCTGAGGATTCTAGCAGACCAAAAGCTCAATTGAGTCAGCTGGGTGATGTGGCAGTCAAAAATACTACCACCATCTTAGGTTGCCTTAAGAGAAGTGTGACTTCCAGGAAAGGGGTCAGACCCACTGGCTATAGCCCTGGACAGACTTCTTCTTGCAGCCTATAAGTTAAACTAATCCCTAGCAGCATGGTTCATGGATCTCTTTCAATGGTCCATAAAAACTTTTTTTGGGGGAGAGGGGGTGGAGAGGGTTGTGTGTTTTTATAATAAATACTAAGATATGATCTGCCCGTCTCCAACTGCAGATCTGTATGAGGCCAGATTTTCTTCATAGACTTCAACCAAAACAATATATCACAAGAGACTGAATATAGAAATAGAACAAGAAAATCCAGTTGGCTTTGATGAAGCCAGTCATTAAAGAGATTTGCAAACATGTAAAACAATCCCATTCTTCTCACTCAAATTTTTTTGTTTTGGAAAACAGTTTTTCATAAATATAACACTAAAATGTTATGGTTTTATTAGTTATTTTTAAATGAATTAATACATGAATATTTTAAACTTTTATCAGTTTTAATTTTGTATATGGTGGACACTGATATAAGCCGTACAAACAAAAGCTCAATAAATATTAAGAGTTTAGAAGGGCAGTAAAACCAAAGTTTGAGAACTGCTGCCCTAAAGGAACTTCCTTCCTGAGGCCTCTCCACTCTCTGGGCCTGGACCACTATTTTCAGGAAAAGCCTGAGCCACTGCTTCTATTTACTCTTTCCTCTCCAGCCAAGGCCTCCTCCCTATATTCCTAGATTTTCTTTCTTTTCCCCACTCCTCATTGGTTCTAGATCCAGAATCGAAATTATTCCTGGATGGGGTATGTCAACCTATTCTCCTCTGGTCCCACTCCTTATCTTGGTAACTGAGGACAAAGGTACCTCTGTTCCATTAGAATGTACATTGTGGTTTGAGGACAGGGACTATTTTTGCTTTTATATTTGAATCCTCAGTTTTCAACTGAAGGCTTGACGTACAGTTTAATAAATGCTTTTTCATTCATTCATTCATTTATATCAAATAAAGATCATAGGAAGGAACCAGGATGCTTAGCCAGTAGAAGGGAAAAACTGAGGGGAGGGGGGGAGTTTAGGGGGGCTGGGCAGACATAATAGTTATCTTCAAGGATTTGAGGGCTGTCAACACTTGTTCTGTTTGACCCCAGAGAGCAAAATTAGAAGCACTAGGTAAAAGCTGGGAAGAGAAAAATTTAGGCTTGGTACCTAGAAAAACATTCTAATAATTCGAGCTATCCTCAAATGGAATGGGTCCTGGGAAGTAGTGGGTACCCTCTCATCCAAGGTCTTTAGTGAGCACGTGCCAAGTATGCTCTAGCTGTGCCATCCCTTTCAGGTACAGGCCAGACTAGATGGTCACTGCCGTCCCTTCCAACTTTAAAATTCTGTGATTTTGCCCAGACTCCCTCCCTTTCCCAGAGAGCCCATCCCCAAAAGGGTTTTTCTACCCCACCAACCAGCCTCTTACCTTCTGCCTGCAAAAGAACATCACAGAATACACCACTCTGCTGCTGGTGATGGAGCTGCAGAAAAGCTAAGCGGAGGAGCCTGGGATTCCTGTAAAGGATTTTGGGGCTCTCAGGAGAGCACATGATGATAGCTCCAAACACACTTCTCTCTGTTCACAAATCAAGTACCTGGCGAGTAAGACATGGTACTTCAGAAACTCAGTTATGCTTTATCAATTTCTTTCTTTTTTTTTTTTACTGGAAAATACCGAGGGGAGAAAACAACTCACAATTATATAGCCTTTCTCCCACTGAGAAGTCCAGTGAGAAGGGAAGGGGCCAGTACTATTCTACCATTTTGCAGGTGAGCAAACTGAAGCTCAGAGAGGTTAAAGGATTTCTCCTCAGTCACAAAACTTCCTGGGAATTGAACCCAGATTTCTCCTGAATGCCCGCTCTTTCCACTAACTCCAACTGTCTCTAAAGATAAGAGATTGCATCATGGGGCCTGTATGGTTGCTGGAGATCCCAAAGAAAGCCATGCCCCTCACCAACATACATGGCAGGTAATAAGTTCAACTATCAATCCGGCCATCCTGTTCTCTAACTGCCTCATCCTTCACAAAGAAGTCCCCAGGTGCTCAGCAGCCTTTCTAAACAAACTGACCACAAAAGAATATTTGGAAAAGCCACTTGAGTTTTCCTATGTGACAGACCTTAACTTGGATGGGTTCATCCTGATATGTCCCTACCAACCAGCAGGGGGTGCAGGGTGTTTGGGAGAAACCAAGCAAGTGTGAACAGGACCCAACTGGAATGTTTCCCTGTTTGGAAATACGGCCTTTTGCCTGCAGGGCACCAATCCCTGGTAGGAGAACAAGGATCTTTACCTGAGGTCCATGAACTTGTTTTTAAATCTTTTGATAACTGTATTTCAATAATAACTGGTTTCCTTTATAATCCTATGTATTTCATTTTATGCATTTAAAAACATTATCCTGGAAAGAGGTCCATCTGTAGGCTTCACAGACTGGGAGAGGGGTCCAAGGCACAGAAACAGTTAAGCTCCCCAGATCTAGAAGAAATAGCTGGATCTATGCTAGGAATCAGTAAAGGATCTTGGTTTTAGGATTGTCAACTTGGCTAATTCTCCAGTTAAGAAATTCACTCTAAATGTAACATATTCCCTAAGTCCTTTGAAGGCCTGGTTCACCAAAGTACTGATTTGGCGTTTTATGCCACTCAAACATGAAGTACTTACTGTGTGCTGGGCACAGCTGAGTAGGTTGAAAGAGAACAGAAAGGTCAAAACACACACACACACACACACACACACACTCTTAACTAGATTACAAAATGATACAGGTATAACAGATGTGAAGACCAAAATGCTATGACTGAAGGCACCAGGGAATGCAGAATCTGGGTCTTAAAGGCTTGGATAATGACCCTACGGGCCATCCCAGTTCGGACTTGTACACAGGGTCACAACAAGTACTATTTGGCAGTAAGATATTCTGCAAATGGGAAAATAGTGTGAGACCAGGGAAATTTGCCAGATTGAGGAAGGCTCTGCCTGCCAGTCCAAAGACTGAAATTTATTCATAGGCTCCTTAAGATTTAGAACTGGAAGGGACCAGGGAGATGATCTAATCCAACTCGTTCATGTCACACAGAGAGAGGAAGCAGACAGCAAGGGCTGTCTTTTACCTCTCTTTGTACCCCCAATGCCTGGCACATAGTAGGTGCTTAACAAATGCTTATCAACTGACCCAGTACACATAGGAAAGACGTTATCTGGCTGCTGGGCAAAGGAAGGACTGGAGGGGGGAAGGGCACAGGGTCCTATCGACTCCCTGGAAGGCTCTAGTATATACAGCCGGGCCGGTGGTCATGAGGCCCCCTCTAGTGGGTCGGGTGAAAATTTAAGAGGTAAGGTGAGAAGGAGCCCAGGAATTTTGACCTGGGAGTGACCTTCAAGGCCTGGTCCATCTGCCTCACTCACTGTACCGGTGGGGACACCGAGGCCCAAGTGAGGGAAGTGACTTGTACAAGGGGCAGACTCCCAAGCTAAGGGTCCTCTCCACTGGTGCCTTTCGCTCCCCACACTCACTGCAATGGCAGGCCTCCTGTCGCGACATGCAGCTTCCTCTGTCGGTGGGGCTTAGGATTCAAGTCAAAGCTAACAGGAAAGACAAGAGCAGAAAAGTTAAGTGAGCCGGCCGAGGCCGACCCGGGAGGCACTCATGCAGTCCGACCCATCTAACCCCTTACAAAGAAGGCCCCCTACAACGTAGGGGGAGCCGGAGGGGCCCGGAGGCCGGCCGGCCACTGGGGAGGAAACTGAGGCCCAGTGCGCTACGGGGGATCCTGTCCTTGCTTAGAGGCCAACAGGAGTGGGCGCCTCTGGGGCATCAGGCCTCCATTTACCTGCCCACACCTCCCCCTCCCCCGCCGCGGTCCTCGATGGGCCCTCTGGGGCCAGCACCCGCATCCCGGGCGAGCTCCAGGGCCCCGCCCCTCCTCCAGGCTACACATGCCTGGGAGCACTACGTCCCGGGCTGGGCCTCGGAAGCAGGCGTGGAGTCCACTCACGGAGCTGGTAGCCTTCCCTTCCCCTGGTGCCCCCTCCGGCTCCGCCGGGCCCAGGCAGGCGCTTCACCTCCAGGGCGCCCCCCTGGCAGGGATCGTCCAGGCGCAGCTCGCGCTCCCTGCTCCGGCCCCGACCACCCCCCCCCCCGCCCCGGGGCGCTGTGGGAACCTGGGAGCCACGGTGGGCGTGGAAGGAAGGGCGGACCCCTGCTGCAGGGGTGCCTGGGAGGGCGGGCGGAGGCGGGCTCTCACCGACGTCGCGGCCACGCGGGGGGCCCCCAGCTTACATCGTGCAGGTGCAGGCGATGGCCGCAGGGGGCAGTGCGGGGCAGCGCCGCGCCGCTCAGGGCAGCAGACTGGGGGCGGGGGGGGGGCCGGGGGCAGCGCGGGGCACGCGGCTCGGAGCGCGCGGCGCCAGCGCCGAGTGGCCACGTGCCCCCCTCCCCCCGCCGCCGCCGCCTCGCCACTCGATTGGAACGGGGGCCCGGGCGGCCACACCCAATGGCCTTCGCGGGGCCGCCCCGTCGACACCCTCCCCCTCCGAGTCTGCCCGGCAACGCTGTTTCATTGGTTCGGGGGCGCCGCCAAGGCCCAATCGCGAGAGGAGAGCCGGTTTGGGCGGGAGGAATGAGGCTCCGTTTCTCAGGCCTTCGAGGCTGAGACGGCGGCGGCGGCGGTAGGGGGCGCGTCGCCGAGGGGTCTCCACGGCCTAGGCAGAGGGTGTCGGGGTAAACGAGGGGCCCTCCCTTCCCCGCCCGCCTGTCACTGGGGTCGCCAGGCCTGTGGAGCCATTCAGGTGCCACTCCACTCCGCCCCGCCGAGAGCGTCTTCATGACAGCTTCACACGCACGATCTCCTTTGAGAACCTGAAAGCCCCCCGCCCGACCGTGGGCAGCAAATTGGATCCTCCAGGGCCTCAGTGGCCTCTTCTGTAAAACGAGGGTGGGGGGTGGACAGAGCACCGGCCCCGGAGTCAGGAGGACCTGAGTTCAAATTCGGCCTCAGACACATAACACTTACCGGCTGTGTGACCCTGCGCAAATCACTTAACCCCCAGTTGCCTCACCAAAAAACCCGGAAGAAAAAAAACCCGAGGGTGGGTGCAGTGCCCGAATGGGGAAAATACTGACTGGATTTAGAATAAGAGGACCTGCTTCTTCCTATTTTACCCATGTCATGTGACCTGGGGCCAATGACCTCGTCCTCTGGGGACTCAGTTTCCTCTTGTGTAAGATGAGCTTGATGACCTGGGAGGCCAAGGCCAGCTCTAGATCCCTCCAAAGGGTTCATCTTTGTGCACTGGGATCCCTAGTCTTTTCTCTCCCGCCCCTTGGACATTCATGAAAGCTGGGCAAATCGTGGCACTGACGGCAGGCCGGCTTGGTTGCCTCATTTGTAACAGGAGGGGGTGGACTAGATAACCCGGAGTCCCTTTCAGATCTGGCTTTCAGATCCTGGCCAGTGTCCAGGATTCCTTCCGAGGCAGCTTATTGAGGCGGGTGTGGTACCTTTCCTCACTCCCTGCTCAGCCCCGGGTTTTATCGCAGCCCTCAATCTCAGAGGGACTGGGAAGACTGGCTCATTGGTTGATTGATGGTTTTTTTTTTGTTTTTGTTTTTAGTGAGGCAGTGGGGTGAAGTGACTTGTCCAGGGTCACACAGCTAGTAAGTGGCAAGTGTCTGAGGCCAGATTTGCCTTCAGATCTTCCTGAATCCAGGGCCAGTGCTCTATCCACTACACTATCTAGCTGCCCTAAGACTGGCTCATTTGTAAGACTCCTATGTAATCCAGGAAGTTCCCTGTTGTCTTGGTCAAAGGTCGTTCTTTAGTAGTGAGGAACCCATAAACTCTGGTCCCGTTTTCTTCTCTTAGGGAAATTGCTTGAGCATTAGAGCAGCCAGCCTTGTTGGATTTCCTCTGACCACGGGCTATCTGTTGCCTCTAGACTGATGCCCATTTGTGGCTTCGAGCCTCCACCTGTAAAATGAGTGGGTTGGGCTAGGCAACATTTTAAGAGCTTTCTAGCTATAATCCTGTGGCTAGCTGACTTCTAAGGTCCCTGCTAGTGCTTACCTTGCAACTAGGCAATCTAATATCCTTTCAAGTTCTAATCCTTTGGCTAGGCAACCTCGAAGATACCTTCTAGCTCTGACATTCTGTGATTCTGCCTAATTCAGTATGGTTGAAACCGAAACAAGTCTGATAAAGTGATCTGAAGGGGTGCGGTTTCAGTTGAGGAGAACTGATGATAGAAAAGGAAGATGTCCAAAGATAAAAAGCAAGTCTGAAAGTAGGAAGGCAAATAGAAGGGTGAGTATAAAACACTGGAATAAGTAGTTGAGAAAGGGGCAAAACTGAAAACAGAATAAGATGGTAATATAAAAGGGATGAAGACCATGGTATTGAAGGTCTAAATTAGACGCAGCTTGCTACAGTGGGAAGAAAACTGAATTTGAATTTTAAGGATGTGGATGAATAAAAAAGCATTTATTAAGTACTTACTATGTGCCAGGTAGTGTGCTAAGTGGTGGGGATATAAATATAAGCAAGCAACATAGTCTTTGCCCTCAAAGAGTTTATATCCTAGTAGAAGAAGACAGCACACATAGGGGAGTGTGTGGCCAGAGTGTGTTGTGGCATAGTGATTACAGTGATAGGGAAACTGATTGACAGGTCCTTTGAGAAGTGGTAATATTGATTTGATTCTTATTTTTACTGTTATTTTATTCCTGATCTATGTTTAATTTGCGTGACCTTAGACAACTTGCTTTCTCTAGGCCTCAGTTTCCTCATTTGTAAAATGAAGGAGTTAAATTAGTCAAAGGTATCAAATTTATGGCCTGTGAGCACTGCAAAACTCCTTAGTGGGGCCTGAACCAGATAAAAATGTAATTAGGAAATGTTTAACAAAATGAATAGAAATATAGTACAACACAGATAATGTTAATTTGTGGTTTTTGGGTGTACCACAGGGATCCTACTGAGTTTAACACCATTGGACTAGATAATCTCTAAAGTCTCTTCCCCCTCTGAATTATATTATTCAATTTATATTTTCAAAAATTTCTCCAAATTAACGATACCAATCAAATAATAGAGGAGAAAGGCGCACTAGTTTTTTTGTTTTGTTTTGTTTTGTTTTTTTTTTAAGAGGAAGCAGGAGTTGAGAGGAAATAGAACAGAAGGAAGACAGATTTAGATGGAGCCAGCAGGAAAAAACAAAGACATAAGACAGAGCCCTAAATGTTTATAATGTCTCACTGTAGTATCCCTAGATGATTCAGGCAGTGGCATTCCAGTGAGGAGATAGGGTTGAAGTTTGAGCAAAGAGATGAAGATTATATTTGCTCCATCTTCTTGGGAACATGTTGATAAAAAGCTAAGTACCAAGGAGTATAGACAGCCATCTTTTGGTACTTTTATCCTAGCTAGTATAAATACAGTTTCATCCCAGATCAGCAGAATTTTTTAACAGAAATGACAAATACTACTACAAATCCCTACTTAGGATTCCAAAAATGATACATTTTAGGTGATAGGTAGTAACCAAAAAGGGTACAGAAGACAAAAGTACATTTTTAGTAGATTTATTTAGTAGATTTATCTCGACTCTTTGCTATTATTCATCTCTTTAAAGTAGATTTCCAAAATTGACTAATATAGTATAGTTGTCTTATATGCAGATGAATATATGGTGATTTTATTTTTTTTTAAAGTTCAATCCCTTGTCTGTTTTTAAAATTTCTTCATTATCTTTACTTCACCAATTTAAATGAAAAACCTGTGTGTTAGTGTTTGAAGCTGCTGCTGGTGGTTTTGTAAGGCTTTGAGAGTTTTGAAGTTGAATGAAAAATATGTTCTGTGTATTTTTAAGAATCAAGCACAGAATGTTCTCTGTGTTCAATACTACAACTTTGCTTCTTTTTGGATTTAATGCAATTCAACAAATATTAGACACCTGCTATATGCAATGAACCATGATAGGCACTTGGTATAAAAGACTGAAAAAAAGAAAGAAAGAAAAGAGTTTACATTCTTCTGGGGGAATAAAACATGTATATAGATGAAGAAATGGAAAATATTATGAAGCAATTCCCCCTCAATTCTTTTCTAATTTACTGTAGAGGCAGTTTCCACTCAGTGTTTAGAAATCTTTATTTGGAAGTGCAGATTAGATAAATTTAATTTAAAATTTTTTTTGCCATATTTAATTTATTTGGTGATTTGTTATGTGTCTTTATTTTAATGTTATTTACTCATGAATGTCCTCTTCATTCCCTGCAGATTAACTTTAAAGTTTTAAAATAAAGCCACTTTCAAACACAGACTTCTTTGTTATGCACTTTCAGGAGCTAGCCCTCAGTTCATGTGACTGCTCCTATCTGAGCTAATCTGAAGCAATTTTGCAAGTATAGTAATATATGGTATCATATTCTACACTTCATTCCTTTAAGTACTTCTTTTTTCCAGGAAGCCATGTTGGTCTGGCGGGATATCAGTGAATCATTCAGCTAACATTTATTGCTTTTTATGTGCAATGTATTGTCATCATCAATTCTTAATACTGTTTGATTGCAATTTCACTGCATTTTAGATTTTTACATTTCTTTTCCTCGAGACAGCCAGAAAGAGTAGGAACAGCATTAGTTTGGGAATCTGAGAACCTGAATTTTAAAGATGCTCTGCTACTTAAAGAATTTGTGACCTTGAGCAGTTCACTTTGCTAGCTTAGCTTCAATTTTCTCTTTCATAAAATAAGAAGAGTGGACTAGAATGAGTTCTAAGGTCTCTTTAGCTCTAAATCCTATGATCCTTTATCGATTAACTTCTCATACTATTCTTCCAAAGCTATTCAAAGTCATTATTACTTCCTAACCATCATGCTTTTTTTCCTCATTCCTATAAAAAATCTTAGGCACAGGCATTTCACACTAGGGGATTGGATTTAATGTTTATGTGCTGGTTATATTATATAGGGTTCAAAGATCAGTATAGCATAGTTAGGAAGGCTTTGTGAAAGAGGTGAGGCTTGAAACTTGAATTGGTCATTGACAAATGGATAGGGTTTGAATTGTCTGAGAAGGATGAAGAAAAAATTAGTTTGGGGGGAACATCCAGCGTCAAGCAAAAGATTTAAAGGAGGGGCTGTTCTAGGAATAGAGACGAGGTTAACCTCATTGGCAGGGCGGGTTCTTGCCTGGGAGCTGTGAGATAAACTTGGGCTGGTAGGGTGGGGTGAGATTGTGAAGGGCTGGGCCCAAGGTAATGCACTTTGTCCTATTGGGAGCCACTAAAGGATTTTGCAGGGTGGGGAAAGAGGAGAAAACCAGTGTTTGAAGTAGATTCATCAGAAATCATCCTCCTTCTCAGATGATGGGTTTTTTTTTTTCCTTTCAGAATGAAAAGGAAGCTCTCAACTCACATCATTTAATAGTCATTATTGATATTCATCAAATATCACATTCTACACGCTGGATTCTATTCCAGACACTTAAAAGACACAGCCTCTGCCCTTTAGGACCTGACATTCTAAGAGCATCATTTATACTAGATATATCAATTTTTTTTAAAGGAATGTAAATAATTCTTTTGTGTAGTCCAGTGTGAGTTAAACTAGAAATCATGAAGCCAAATCTGCTTAGAGTTCGGATTATTATCTTTCTGAGATTCCCTCAGTTGAATTATCTGGGCAGTTTTGTAGTCTACATCACTTATCCTATATAGTTCACATGTTTTTTGATTGGAAGAATATACTTATACTAAAGAAAGTAATCAGCCCAGGAATCAGTTTCAATTAAAAAACATTAATCAAAACAACGGAATTGAGATTTACTTCAAAGAGGACCCCTCCCAGTCTCCTCATAAATGGATTAAATGCATTCCCCCCCCCCCCCGTACTTCTCGCGGAGGGACATAGAGGGTTGAGAAGTGACTCACCAAACACCAAGAGCCAATAAAAAATTTTTTTAAATTAGATATGTAAATCGACAGTTTATTTATTTATTTATTTATCATTTATTGACAGATGCCTAGACATCCCCCACAATCAGAAAGCAGAGGGAAGGGGTTTGAAGACACATGTACAAAATTCCCAACAGTCCCATCATCAAAGAGAACTCAGGAAATAGCTTAGGCTTCTTTCTACGCAATGATTTTTTAAGAATCCAAAAAAACCAAACACCTTTTTTTCCATTCAGGCTCAGGCCTTGCCATACTTCCTGTAGGATTGTATATCCTTTGCTTTTGCAATATATATCTAGATATACATGTTACATATATGCATATGTATTTTTAAAAGTTCTGTGTCTTTTTCTGTCTCTGTCTCTTTTTTTTTTTTTCTAATTCCTATAATAAAGTTTCCTATTGGATGAGGTCAGCTCCCTGATTTATGCCTGGTTTCTATTGGAAGTGCTCAAAGGCTGACATCACTTAGGAAAGCGAGGGGGTAGGGCTGGCAGACCAGTTTGTCACCACCCAGCCTCCCTTGCCTTTGGCTGGGTGCAACTTCCATTTTAGGTGTTGGATCTGGGAGGAAAGAAAAAAAAAAGAAGAGGAGAGAGAGAGGAGGAGAGAACGAAGAGGAAAGAGCCGTAAAGAAGAAAGAGGTGGAGAAAAATTAATTGCATTATTATACTTGTCTTTCTCAGCAATATTGGCAAGGATTTAGGTTCCTTTTTTGTAAAGGATTGTTTTTTAGAAGTCTGCAAATGAGGTGTGTGTATGTGTGTGGATAATGTGTACAGAAGGGGCATGATAGGCTAGCCAGTTGAATTTTTAATTTTTGCTAACTAGAGGGATTTTTAAAAGGTGCTGAACGTTTGGGAGAAATTCAGCTAGGGTAACTGATTTTAAATCAATTTTTTCCTCTCAATTTTTGCTACTTTTAATTTTATTTTTCAAAGCAAAACAGCAAGGAGAAGGAACAAACTTCTGGGTCTCCAGCGCTGGGAGCTAGCTGAGCTGCTCCTGAGGGGTAAGAGCAGTCCTGTGAATTTGCCTCTTGGTGTATTTTCTGACTGTATATTGCCTTCCAGATCTAAGTGAACACATTTACATAACCTTTGGTAACAAAATTCAAAAAGTTGGTTTTTGGTGTATTGTGTGTGGGTTGAGACAGGAATTTATCTTGAGGTTGAAAGCTGGTTTCGCAGATGGCTTTTCATATGTTTTAAAACTTATTTTACTTTTTGCCCTGCTTGTGGACGTGGAAAGTTGCAAGGAGATTTGCAGCTTAAGCTGTGGTAGTTGTTACCCACTCCCCCCCCCCCCAAAGTGCGATTAAACTCCCCTGTCTGTTTCAGCCTCATGCTTCTGGGTGGATCCCGATTTACTTTTCCAGGTGCAGTGGGTGGGAGCCTCATACTGGCCCTGCTGCTTTGCCTTTTAAAAGAAAACAAATGGATCCCCATTGACTGCATTTCCCTTTTCTTAAAACTACCTTGGGTTGTTAAGACCCCACCCCCACCCTTCACCCCCACCCCCCAAAATCTGCAAAAACTATTTCACAAGTTTTGGAATTAAGAGGTCATTTAATTTATCTGAGTGAAGGAGAAAAAGTTTAGAAATGATTTTAGCTTTTTATTTGTTTAGGGTGATAGGGTAGCAGAAAACTCTTGAACACTTGAGTTTCCAATTCATTTGAAGAATTTTGTAAGGAAAAAAATTTAAAAAAACAAACAAACCCTGAAGGTCAAGTTTTGTGGGTGAGTAGATTTTCAGTTGATTTTCTAAAATACCAGAAATCTGTAGCGTTGTAGCCAATGACTTTTTTTCTATTTCAAATCTTTTTTATTTGTGAAGTACTTTTTTATATGTATTTTAACAAAATTTTAGATGGTCCTGTAGTCAAATCGTTAGCTAAAGACTGAGACGACTTCTCCCTTTGCCTTTTTCATAATCAGAGCTACTCTCAAAATTATACGTGGAATTAAATTCTTAACCTAATTGCAACAAGATTCAGTGCCCTTTAGTACTTAAACTATCATACCTTTAAAAGTCCCATAAATGTTTTTTTCCCCTCCGCTTTTTAATTAGGAAACTTCTTTGAAAATGTTTTTACATGCAAAACTAGAGTGTCGAGGGAGTTACTTGTTTAGGGGTTTCAAAATAAAATGCAATTTCTTCGTTTTCTGTGTAATGCCGCAAACCAAAGTGAAATGGTTCTTATAAGCCCTATCAATACTTCTTTTTTCCTTGATTCTGCAGTCTAAATTTAAAAAGAAAGGATGGCACATTTATGGCAGATACCCTAGGAGATGATTGATTTAGCCCTTTGGGCTGTCATTTTTGTTTGAATAGGGGTAGAAAAATTTGGAGACTATTCATCTCCTTTTTTTCTGCCTTAACTCCAGCCTAAGGTTCTGAGTAGATTTTTTGGATGACTGATCAGAATTGCTGGTTGACCCATTATCCCTCTAAACCTTAAAGTGGGTGTCTGTTGAGAAAGTTTACAAAGACATTTTGAAAATGGAAAATAGGCTCTTGAAGACTGGGTAATGATGACTGGGTCTGGCTTTAAGTGGGTAGACACTGCACAGTGTTAGTAGGACCCAAGGAAGTGTCTAGAACAGAGGTTCTTAACCTTTTTTGTGCTATGGACCCCTTTGGCAGTCTAGTGAAGCCTACTGACCTCAGAATAATTTTAAAAATTAATAATTGAATGAAATGCCAATTTCTAGTTACACATTAGTAAAAACAGAATTTTTTCCCAGAGACCCCCTTGAAATATGTCCTTTGGTTCGTGGACACCAGGTTAAGAAACTCAGAGGTCTAGAATTAGTGGAGGCAGCTCTAGACATTGTCATTGGCCTGTTTTAGACAAGGAAGGAGACTTGTATGTTTTTTTTTTTTTTTTTTAATCTTAATATTTCCAAGAATTGTAGGAGGTTTGGAACTTGGGAAAAGGGTAGTGGGAAGAATGCCCTCCAGTTTTAGTGCTAGGCTAAGCAGGTATATTTTTATGTTTTGTTTTCACCTTTATATTAATGGTCTATGTGATAAATGTTCTGGTGACCTTCGTTCTTGAGAAATCTCCCAGAAGAAGGTAGGGTATTATGGGGTTTCTATTATTTTTTTCCAGGAATGTTGGAATTGAATTTGGGGCGAATTCCATAATTGTATTTTCTTAGGCGTAGAGAAATGGGACTATAAAATTTGCCCTTACCTGACAGGGAATTTAGAGGATCAACTACCATTTTAAGAAAGCTCCAAGTAGTTGAAACCTGGTTGTCCTATTCCCTGAGGAGATGTAGGTGACAGTCTTGTGAATGTAACTAATCTTTTAAAAGAGAAGTAAGATAGAATAGCTGGAAAGAAATGGACCTCTATGGGCTCATTAAGGGACTAAGAGTTGCCCTGAAGAAATCATTATATCCTATTTCTGATACCAGGTTCCCCTTTACTTCTGCTTCCTAGGCCAAGACTACTGAAGTTTCTAGGGAATGGTTTAAAAAAACAAACCCTAGTAAATGGCACAATGTTTTCATCTTGTTCTAGGTCTTCACTTGACTTTTCCGTATTGGTTTAATGTACAGAATATTCTGCTTTTTTCATCAAAGGAAAGCCTATTAACTACTATTTCCATGGTGGGGGAAAGGAGGCTGGGCTAGAAATGGATACTGTTTCAAGCTTTTGATGAGGCAACTTAACATCTGTGCAGCATCTTGGTCTCACCAGTGGTTTTATTTCTCCAAAAAACCTTTATGTGATTTGGGCTAATGTTTGCTTCTTAGTCATTTCGGGGATGGGTTGCCAATAGATTTGTATTGTCCTATATGCATGGGATCGCCGAGGCTGTAGTACAAAACCTTGGAGGAAAGTATTGGTAATATAAGAACAAAATCTAAATGCAAGTAAAAACCTCCCAGCCTTTTAGGCTGTGTGTTCAATCTTCACCTTTAAAAACCTGAATTGTTGACAATAGAACGTGTAAGTTATGGCTTTTTTTTTTTTCTATTGCATGCCTTCTGGCAAAAATGTTGTGAAGTCATAGTTTAAGGCCAAAAAGTGTTGGGCCTAGTTTACTCCAGATCTTTGGAAGTCACTGCTGCCCTTCATTAGCATACTGAAACCTGTTAAGAGTTTTTTATGTGGCTCTTTTTGGAAAGAACCAAATGCCTTGTGGGAATCATGTAATAAGGACATATCCTTATTATACATGATATACATCATATATTATACATTATATGTATGAAACATATTTCAGTATTGGTTATGTTAATTTTCTACCTGAAATACTTTCTTCTTTACTGAAGAAAGTTACTTTTTTTGTAAATTTGGAATGAATACATTTGACTATGAATGTTTCTAGGAGAAGTGTGGTACTTCCCGACTCTTCTTCATTTGAAATAATGTCCACGTTACACCATTACCGTGCTGAAGGAGATTTTTTGTTCTTGTGGTTCAGTGATACTGTTTTTCATACTTAAGCCACATTCATAACAAGATGAAAGCTCACTTTTACATGAACCTTACCTAAAGGCGCCGACTGGTGGGGATTGTTCTTTAATCTCCTCTTCCCCCACCCCTCCAAAAAAAAAGGGTTAATGTGGCACTCAGTTGAAAATAGGGATTTCTCTGCTTAAGTGCAGCTGCCTACAAGGTTGCCAATAGAGCATTGATGTAGCCTGGCAAGGAGATTTTTTTAAAAGGAAGGAACAACTGCTCTGGTTTAGAATGACCAATGGGGAATAGAGGGCATGCATTGATTTGTGTTTTTGTTGTGTAGCTTATTAGACATTTTGAAAGTAGTTTGTCTCTTCAAACTTATACTTTGTATAATAATTTGTTATTAAATATTAAATAGTGAGAATGGAACTTGGCTCTCTTGCTTTAGAAAAACTACCAGTTGCTAGATGTTCCCAGATGAAATTTAAGTCTCCCTCAGAATGCTTTAGATCTGATAAGGAAGGATGGGCAAAGTGATGATGGACTTTCTAAAGGATCGCCAGACTTCTGCATTTTGTTAGCCAATGATTGGTAACTGGGGACACTTCTGTAAAACAATTTTATTAAGTTTCATTAAGTATTGTGGATTTTAGCACATTAACTAATAGTCAATGGCCTCTTAATTTTTATTGTCTGAATTTTGAAGAGTTTATTGCTATTTATAGTCAGTCATTTATTTCAACACCCTGCTTTGTGACAAAGCAAAGACACTCAACACAGTGAACTACATCTCTCAATGTATGCAATATTCTGTCTTTTCTCTCTTTTTACTCCATCCTTCACTGGATTGATTATCTGTTCTGTGAGATCTTCACTGGTTTTTCAATTGCTCAGAATTAGGCTTCCAATAAGTGATCTTTTCATTTACACTATTGCTATTGTGTGCATTCTTTGGTCCTACTTTATTCTACCTCAGTTCATAAAAGCTCAAAGTTTTTTTTTTCCCCTGAATTTCTCAAATTCACTTTTTCTTGCTATGCAGTAATATTTTATTTATATATAATAGTGTGTTTAGTCACTTCCCAATCGATGGGCACCTACTTTTTTTCCCCATTTCTTTGCTACTGTTAAAGAATATTTGCTATGGATATTGTGGTGGATGTTGGACCTTTTGTTTCTAACCATATGACTTTCTTGGTGTATATATCTAATAGTGGGATTGTTGGTTCTAAAGATGTGGACAGTTAAGTCACTTTTCTTGCATGCTTCAGAATGGGCTAATTCAGAGCTCCAGTAATAATTCATTAGTGTTCCTGTTCTTCCGTACCCCTTCTAACACTTGACTTCCCAAATGGGCTTCTTTTAAGGAGAGCTCCTTTTTTTTTCTTTTCTTTTTCTTTTTTTTTTTTTTTTTTTTGCTTTTTGGTTACACAATGGGGTTAAGTGACTTGCCAGGGTCACACAGCTAGTAAGTGTTATATGTCTGAGGTCACATTTGAACTCAGGTCCTTCTGAATCCAGGGCCGGTGCTCTATCCGCTGCGCCACCTAGCTGCTCCAGAGAACTCCATTTTTCAAAGATGCTTTA